TGAGGACTTTGCAGGAGAGGGCAAAGCTCAGAACTGTGGTTCATAGGGTTGCGATGAGGTGAAGTCCACAACGGCACCCAACAACAGCTGTGTTACTTATTAGAGGACAGCTGGAGGAGGGTAGTCCTGGTTGAGTCTTGAGCCCCGGTCTGGACCAGCGTGGAGGAAGCGAGATTGACCTTCCCCACCAGAACTGACGAGGTGGTTTACAGGAGCAGTTTGCAGATTGTTGTGTTGGAGATCTCTTCCTAATCTTTGCCAAGACATTTTAGCTAAATTTATGCCACTGTAGATCAGATGTCACTAAATGACAAGGCTGGGGGACCAGTGAATGAGTTCACGACCCCCAATGCCACGGTGTTGGGTTTGTTTAAATAAATAGGCCATTAAATCCTGCTGAACTACAGCTGTCCTAATTCATTCCCTAGGTTTGCACTCTCATTGATATTATAAGTCAGTTCTGGTCGTTGCTCTTTGCTGCTGGGGACATGATCTTTAGACATTCTTCGTGTTTAAAGGGAGATTGTTGCTAGTTGCTGCTAAATTGATTCTGATTTATGACAACCCATGTACACAGAGTAGAATTGCCACAGACGTGGTTGTGTGCCCTCTCTGAAGCAGATCACCAGGCATTTCTTCTGTGGCACCTCTGGATTGGTTTGGAACATCACAGTTTGCCCGTAGTCCAGGGCTTAATTGTTTACATTGCTAGGGACTCTACCAGGAGATTTTTGTTGTGTTCTATGGAGTCAGAACTGACCCAGTTTTCAGAGACAGTAAATTGCTTGGGAGGAGATTGTCCATTCTTCGCCTTTAGAGTGGCTGGTGGATTCAAACTGCTTGCCTTTGGAATTGCAGTTGAAATGTATTCCCAGGCTTAAAGGCTAAGAAGTCCTTGTTCAGAAATTAGTTTAGAAGAACTGAGAGAGTATTGAAAATGGAAGTGTTCTGGTGTGGAAGTGGACAGTTCTCTGAAGAATTGGGTCAGGAACTGTCCTCTGCATTGGGGAACAAAGATAACTGATTGTGTGGACAGAGACCAAGATGATTTATCTAGTCTGGCCATGGACAGAGTTGCCAGCTCCTGCTTCCAAGCTCTCTTGGTTTCCTCTTCCCCTTACTCTCCCACGCTGGTCCCAATTCCTTCTTTATTGACTTGACACAAGAGAGTTCCTGCTGGTAAGGGGCACAGCTTGCACATGCCTATTCTCAAAAAAATTGGAAAGAATTGCTTAAAAAATTAATATCTTTGGGCTCCTCCCAACTCCCTATGTGAATCTCTGGAAGATGGGCCTGGGGCTTCATGTACTTCCTTCCTCACGTTTCCCTGTGTGTTTGTTTTTAAATAATACTTTATTATGTTTTCAGTTAAGATTCACAAAGTGTAGGTTCCCATTCAATAATTTCTATACACGCTGTTCAGTGACATTGGTTAAGTTCTTTGCATGCACACTCATAATTGCTGTTCTAGTTGTTCAGTTTCCATGAATCTAGTTTCCCTGCTCCCTTATAGTCTAATCTTTGTTTTAAAGTAATTGCTAACTGTTTGATTTCAAGTAGGCTTTTATTTTCTAAGGACACAGTACTTACAGTTGATGTTGCTGTTGATTGCTGTCGAGTCGAGCATGACTCATAGGCCTGAAGCCCCTCTACAACTATTGACATTTATCAAAGTTCATAGAGTTTCCAGAGGCAGGTTGTTTAGGAAGTGGACGCCACTTCTGATAGTCATTATTTTTCTAATGAATTTGTTACCTAGCCATAAGATGACTCTGGAGTAAGCTTAGGTTCAA